AGACAGAGGTTGCAGTGAGCCAAGACTGTGCCACTGCACTACAGCCTGGATAACAGAGTGAAACTCTGTCTCAAAAAGAAAAAATGAAAAAAATGAAAAAAAAAAGAGAAGTAACAGGCATTACTAAAAAATTCTCTATCTTGGAGTTTTTATTTTTTATTTTCTACCCAACATAGGCATAGATATAATTTCTTAGGACTTTAATGCATATTTAATGTTCACGTTTACGGTGACCCTACATTAGATCCCACTGGCCGACACCAAGTTATAGTTAATCAGCTTGCCGGCCAAAAGGCTGGTGGCTCAGCACCATGGACAGAGGAATCTGGTGCAAAAGTTCGATCTGCGCCTACTTACAAAGTAACAGCTGTGAGCTCTGATATATGATGTTCTACCAAGGAAAGATTAGTGTGAACATTCTTCTTGGCATCAAAGGAAGAGAGTGGCTCTGGGTTTGGATCAACTCAGAGGATTAAGGTCTTGAGAAAATAACCACTCCTTAAAGATACCTCTGAGTACCATGACTTGCTTCATTTACTGACCTATATATTGATCCACTACTTCTTCGACAATCTGCTCTTCTGTTCCCAAGACACCATTTTCATGCTGAACTAAATGTAAACACCTAGTTAGCAAATGTGGAGGACATCTGTTCTTTTTACATGTCCAGCATCTCTAACCCTTTTTTCTTTTGCAAACCACCCTTCAAACAAATTAGCTGTCCTGAGTTTGCTCTTTGTTGTTGTTTTGAAGAAACAGAGTCTCACTCTATCACCCAAACTGAAGTGTAGTGGTTCCCTCATGGCTCACTGCAGGCTCGACCTCCCAGGCTCAAGTTACTCTTCCACCTCAGCCTCTTGAGTAGCTAGGATTACAGGTGTGTGCCACCACACCTGCTTAACGTTTATCTTTGTAGAGATGAGGATCTCACTATATTGCCCAGGCTGGTCTTGACCTTCTGGCCTCAAGCAATCATCCCCCCTTAGCCTCTCAAAGTGCTGAGATTACAGGAATGAGCCACCACGCCTGGCCCAAATTAGCTGTTTCTTTAAATGGTATTAAGGAATCGTTGATACAATTGTGAAGGGCTTATGATGATACTGAAGCTATGTTTAAAATAAGAGTTCCTGGCCAGGCAGAGTGGCTCACACCTGTAATCCCAGTACTTTGGGAGGCTGAGGCAATCGGATCACTTGAGGCCAGGAGTTCAGGACCAGCCTGGCCAACAAGGTGAAATCCGTCTCTACTAAAAGACAAAAAGTTAGCTTGGAGTGGTGGTGCACGCTTGTACTCCCAGTTACTCGGGAGGCTGAAGCAGGAGAATCACTTGAACCTGCGAGGTGGAGGTTGCAGTGAGCTGAGATCACATCATTGCACTCCAGCCTAGGCGACAGAGCAAGACTGTGCCAAAAAAAAAAAAAAAAAGTTCCTGTCTTTACACAATACATTCTGACAGTTTCAAATAAAATAATATCATGTCCAGAATTTGCTTCAAAATAATCCAGGATCAGAGCAGGCAAGACAAGATTGGCCATGAATTGCTCATTGTTAAAGCTGGAGGACAGAAACGTGAGGATTCTATTTTATGTTCAAAATTTTCCATTAAATATATACATATGCAAATATATATACACACACACATGCATATATATGAGGCTGTGTGTGCGCACTTGTGCGTGTTACTGAGATGCTACCAAAAAATTGTAACAATAATTCCTGAACAACTTATGATCTGCACCTGAGCAATAATCAAGAGCAAGCCTGATTCCCTCTGCTCCCTGAGGAGCTTTCAGGAGGCAAGGTTCTAAACGCCCCATGCAGACCTGAGATTTTTCTCTTGCTCAAGTCCACGTGATGGAGCAGGAAGTTCAGATGTCCAGGGATGATCACTTTTGCAAGATGTCTCAGGACAGCAATTTCTAAGAAATGAAACCTTTTCATGCACTTTTCCCTGACAAGCAGCTGGGAGCAGGGGCTGGGCCAAGTGTAAGTGAAAGCACACCTGATTGTGGTCATGGGCCCCAGGTCAATACATAAAGTCTAGGTGAGAACCAAAGCAACAGCAGCAAAATATTAAATACGAAATGGGCTGGATAACTAGAGGGAGCCAAGATATAATGCCAAGCACATTACGATGGAGAAAATGTAAAATACAAAGATGACAGAAAGGTATAAACGGAAGACACAACTAAGTATTCCTCTAGGGAGCCTTTTGGGGGACTTTTCATGCAGCAGCCACATCAGGACAAATGAGGTGCCAGCAGAAAGACTGGTGGATAAAATGACTATAAAACTGCTTCCAAAACTGTGAAACCATGCGCACATGGGAGGAATTGCTTAGAGGCTACATATCACAGATGAGGTTGAGTGCTTACTATGCATAAGGTACTTTATAAGCTCCCAGTACACAGTGGTTAAAAACATAAAATGTCCTGCCTCATTGAGCTAACATTATAGTGAGGCAAATTGATGCAACCGTCAATTATTTAAAAGTGTGATAACTTCACCTAAAAATACTGCCAGCTTCTCTTTACAAATCAGAAGATCTAGGCCGGGCGCAGGGGCTCACTCCTGTAATCCCACCACTTAGGGAGGTCAAGGCAGGCTGGTCGCTTGAGCTCAGGAGTTTCACACCCTGTCTCTGCAAAAAGAATATAAAAATTAGCCAGGTAGTGGCACGTGTCTGCAGTCCCAACTGCAGTGACCTATGATTGCACCACTGCACTCTAGCCTAGGTGACAGAGCAAGATTCCTTCTCAAAATAATATTAATTATCAGAAGATCTGCAAGGCTTGGTCTGTATTCCTGCATGGCAACAAGAGGCTGGAACTAGTGGCTGCTTCCTTTACAGGAAATGTGGCCTGTAGCTCACCACCCTCCCCACCATTCCCTATTGTATTATACTCTGCCTTACTTCACTCTGTTATCTGCCTGAGCTCTGCAAGCTTTCAAGTTTGTGACTCCTGCTCCCTCATGTCCCCAAGTTGTGATACTTGCCTCTCCTAAAACCACCAAATAGCCCAAGGAGAATGTAAAGGACCCCACTCTTATTTGAATCTGAATCCTGGGTTACCATTTAATCTGATGTAACCTTGGGCAGTGACATCACCTTGCTGAAGTCTCAATGCCCTAAACTCTAAAATGGAGGCAATCATATCTGGTTTATAGGATTTTTGTGAGGACTAGGCTTTGCCTAATTAGCTCTTACTCCTCCTTTGGATCTCACCTCTAGCACTGCTTCTTAAAAAAAACCTTTCCAGACCTCCCAAATAGATCAAATCCCTCTGATAGACACAGGTTCTCAGCACCATGTCTCTTCTTGCTGGCACCCATCTCCCTTAGAATTATACATCAGTTGGTGGATTACTTGCTTAATTCCTGCCTCTCCCACCAGTCTGAAAACTCAGTAATGGGAGGGGAATCCTGCTTTTGCTCCCTACCTACCACCATATCTGGCATTAAATAGGTCCTCAGTATTATTTAGAAAGAAAAATGAGCTGTGTACAGATGCTGATACAACCCCTGGCATATACGAGGTGCCCCACTGATTCTCTCTGCCCCACCCTCAGCTAATGCCTGTTACGTACATGGTATCCTAAGCTTCCGGGGCTAAAATTGGCTCAATTTTTAACATTTGGGAAAGAAGTGATTAGGTTGTGTGTTCTAATAAGCTATCTACCTCCCAGAATAAGGATTTTTGTTTTGCCCACTGACATACATGTAGCCGAACTGGTGTCCAGGCCACTCGTCGCCTGAAAGCCAAAAACTCAAAAGACAAGTTTGGTGAACGTAAAGTTAGCTTTATTCAAGAAACCAGCAACCCGCAAAAGGCAGTGCACTAGCGTTCAAAGACCACCTTTCTCAGTTGTGCCTCTAGATCCAGGAATTTTAAGGAAAATTAGGAGAAACAATGATCAAAACATTCTTGTGGGCCAGGGGCAGTGGCTCATGCCTGTAATCCCAGCAATTTGGGAGGCTGAGGCAGGTGGATCACTTGAGGTCAGGAGTTCGAGACCATCCTGGCCAACATAGTGAAACACCATCTCTACTAAAAATACAAAATTAGCCAGGTGCAGAGGCGCACACCTGTAGTCCCAGCTACTCAGGAGGCAGAGGCTGCAGTGAACCAAGATCACTGCACTCCAGGCTGGGCGACGGACCAAGACTGTCTCAAAAAACAAAACAAAACAAAAAACATTCTCGTCAATCATGCACAGTCTCAGATGGGCAGTTAATCATTACTTTCTTGGTCAACGCCTTGTGACTAGATTGTGCAGGGACCATCAGCCCGTTCCCACAGCTGCTGGTCTGTGTGTTTTATCTGTTGAAGAAGGTCCTGTTTTTGCTGTGACTGTTTTTAGTGAATAATTTACAAAGTCAGGCAAAACAATAATTATACTCAAGCAAGCAAGCTTTTCTCCAACACACAGTCAGTCAGTACTGCTGTTACCAGTTGCAGGGCCTAGGGGACTTAGCTGGACGCCTACCTGGCTTTTGTTACCCAATGCAATGCCTCCATAACATAGCTAAATGCCTACTCAGATTTAACTCTGCTTATTTTTAGCAAACAGGATGTCTGTCGTCATAGGTTCCTTCTTAGCTTACTCCACCTCTCAAGAACCTCTAGCTTCATCCTCATCCAACTTCAGTACTAAATGATATTCCCATTGGCGCCATGACAGTTGACAATCACCATCATGACCCGAAAAGGACAAAAAAACAGGTTAGCTCCTTGATTCCAGGAAAATCTACCTCCCTTCCCAAGAAAAAACATGAATATTCCTCCTCCTGTTCTTTTTATTTTTTTATTTTTTATTTTTTTAGAGACAGGGTCTTGCCATGTTGCCCAAGCTGGTCTCCAATTCCCGGGCTCAAGCGTTCCTTCTGCCTCCTTGCCTTGCTCTTAATGCCCAGCCCCTTCATTAAGGACACCTGAGGACTAAGCTCTGATTTGTATGTTTTTTGTTTTCTGTTTTGTTTTGTTTTTGACCCAGTCTCAATTTGTCACCCAAGCTGGAGTGTGGTGGCACTATCTCGGCTCACTGCAACCTCTGCCTCCCGGGTTCAGGCAATTCTCACACCTCAGCCTCCCGAGCAGCTGGAATCACAGGTGTGTACCATCATGCCCAGTTAATTTTTGTATTTTTAGTAGAGACGGGGTTTCACCATGTTGGCCAGGCTGGTCTTGAACTTCTCACCTCAAGTGATCCACCTGCCTTGGCCTCCCAAAATGCTGGGATTACAGGAGTGAGCCACCACGCCCAGCCTAAACTCTGATTTTCTAAATCCTGCCCAAATTCCTATCTAAGGGATCTGGGGAGTCATGCCCTACAAACCATAAATATTCATCAGATGGGCTTTATTTAACCCTATATATGATGACTTACTTTCCAATCTGACTCTGGCATAACATTATGTGACAAAGAAGAAAGTCAAAATATTTTACCCCAAAACATGTTTCTTTGCCCTATTTTGCAATTTCTTCCATAAAGGACAGCATTTTCCCCCAATACCTATCCTTTGTGGGGGAAAATGTGCCTCTGTAAAGAACATCTATTAACATAGCTAGATCTTTTTTTTCCAGGCCTTCCCAATCCTAAACAGATTAACTAAAAGTCTAACACCTTTTGAAGATCTGAATAGGAAACATTTGTCATCTATTATCTCTAAAGGCAGCCACCATAAGACTTCAAAAGAACTTTGGTCTCCACTTTTATCTTAACCTGTACATTTCCTTTCTACCAATCCCAGGTCTTTAGACAAACTCAACCAATTGTCAAGTACAAAATGTTTAAATTTACCTATAGCCTGGAAGCCCCCACCCCGACCCCCACCCCTTTGAGTTGTCCTGCCTTCCTGGACCAAACCCATGTATTTCTTTAATGTATTTGATTGATGTCTCATGCCTCCCTAAAACGTACAAAAACAAGCTGCACCCCGACCACCTTTGACACATGTTCTCAAGCCCTCCTGAGGGCTGTGTCACGGGCCACGGTGACTCGTATTTAGTCCAGAATAAATCTCTTCAAATATTTCAGTTTTACTTTTCGTCAACACTCCCTATTACCTGTAACTTCTCAGTTTTCAAGAGCTGAGAGCTTGACTTGCGAGCTACGCTTCCACTTCTCCAATTCCATGGCCACTGAAGGCTGAACGGCCTGACACTCACACTTGGTCTCATGCGCTAGCTCTGCAACAAGGGACAGACAAAAGCCCCTTGGGGAGAAACCAGCACCCCCTGGTGACACTGTTGCCTCTGCCAAGCGCGCAAAGCGCAGCCTGGCATATAGTAGGTGCTCGAGAGGGAAAGCCGGTCTATGAAATCGGGGACAGGGGCAGCACCATGAGGGAGCAAGCTCGGGCCTGGGTGGCGTAACGCTGGCTCCGAGACCCCTCTGCCCCCTTCTCCTCAAGCTCGACCACATCCACCTCCCCAACGCCAGGGGCAACAAGAAAGCACTGAGCTGGGACAGCGCCAGGAAAGACCTGGAGCCACGCACAGATCCCTCCGCAGGCAAAGGGAATGGCCACACGTGCGCCTCCGCCAGAGCAAGAAAGTCCCACGGAGTCTGGTGACCCACTCCAGCCCCGACCGCTGCCCTGGTCGAGGAACACGGCCCAAATCCCTCCGCCGCAACTCCGTGTCCCTCCGCCAGCAACACGAGTCCGCGCTCCCGTGCTCTTCTTCCCCGGCAGCCAGGCCTCGGGGGCGGCAACTCCGCCTCAGGGAGGTCCCGCCACCGCCTGGATTCTCCGCCTGAAGCGGCACTCGCCTCCCGCTCCCATACTGTTCGCGATGGCAGGTGCCCTAGAGTCCCTCTGTGTCCCTCCGCTCCGGGAGGGCCCTCGGCGCCCAGTCGCCGCGCAGCGCGCTCTCGCGAGAGCCCTCCACACGGGCCCCCTCCCCCAGCCCCTCGCCCGCGAGGACGCCTCGCGCGGGCCCCGCGGCGCTTGGTGGCAGGCGGCGCATGCGTGGCTGCAGCTCCCAGCGCCCCCCGCGCTCTCCGCGGGCCGAGTGGACGAGGCCGAACGCGAGGAGGCGGCCGCTGCCCCCTGCGAGGCCTAGCTTCGGCCTGCGGCTCTTCTCCCCTCCGAGCGGAACGGTTTTTGCGGCCTTTCCTCAGTGGGCAGAGGTTTCCTCAGGACGGTTGGGGCCGTAGTGGGCCCGAAAGAGCCCGGCGCCGCTCTCGGACTCCGCCAGGCCCCAGCGGCACCCGCAGCGGCCCGGGCATGCTGCCGTGACCCGAGCCCGGACTCTGGCGCCGGGCGGGGCCTGCACATCCGGCCCCACCCACTCGGGGCCTCGCCTCTCGGAGCCCGACCCTGGAGTAGCGGACACACCCCCTCCCGGCCCGGCTGTCCGCCTCCGCCCAGCCTTTCCTCAACCAGCTTCATTTTTCTACCAGTCCTCCAGCCTCCCGGTTTCCGACTTTGCACTAAGAGGGATGCACCCTGGAAAACCACATTGCAGGGTCACATCTTGTTTGGAGAAAAGGCCGGGCTTTTGCATCTTAGGGTATACATTCACCTTTTCAAGGGCCTAGCATAGATTTGATTAATCAGCCTGGAATACTCTGTTCCTGCTGACCTGGCCGTTTTTACCTCCCTACCTTACCACACTCCCAGGAAGATTAAACAGGGAGCGCTTGGCGTCTTCTTTGGGTCCCCACCTTGAGCTAGACGTGAAATTGACCCCTGGGCTGCAGCATGGCTGTAGCCCTCGACTCTCAGATCGACTCGCCCCTGGAGGTTGAGGGATGCCTAATAATGAAGATGGAAAAGGACCCCGAGTGGGCATCAGAGCCCATTCTGGAGGGATCGGATAGCTGTGAGACCTTCCGCAAATGCTTCAGGCAATTCTGTTACGAGGATGTGACCGGACCCCATGAAGCTTTCAGTAAACTCTGGGAACTTTGCTGCCGGTGGCTGAAGCCAGAAATGCGTTCCAAGGAGCAAATACTTGAGCTGCTGGTGATTGAGCAGTTTCTCACCATTTTACCCGAGAAGATTCAGGCTTGGGCACAGAAGCAGTGTCCGCAAAGTGGAGAGGAAGCGGTGGCCCTGGTAGTGCATTTGGAAAAAGAGACTGGAAGACTAAGGCAGCAGGTGAGAGAGGATTTTCCAAATTTTTGTACTTAGAAAAAAGGGAATGGAAAAGGCATGTGGGCAGGATGTATTGTAGAAAGAAGTGCTTTTCAGAGAAAGATAAATGGTACTAATAAAAGACCCTGTAAGGGGATCTTTTCACTTTAAGTGAATCCACTTAAAAGGGGATCAGAGTTTCATATGAAATACAAAAGTAAAAGCTTTGGTTGAAATATTATCTTTGCAATGGAAACCAGACATTATTCACCTAAGCATTTATCGTCATCTTTGGCATAATGTTTGCAACAAAACAATATAAGAGAACAATATGGTTTTGCGTCATAGAGGTTCACTTACGCATTTTGATCAAAAAAGGCTATTCTGTTCCCCCTTTAAAAATAAATAAATAAATAAAAAGACTTCATTCGTTATCCCATTGCTGTCTCCAAGCATTTACCATTCCACTCAGTGTCTTCTGAAGTGCTCTCATGCTGTCATTTCTGTCACTCTCCTCCAGTCTAACTGCCACATCTTCATTTCTCAGTGGCTTGCATGCTCTTCTAGTTGTTCTTCAACCTCCCTTTCATGAACCTCGTGAAATCCTGCAGTATTTGCAAGATTTGCAGTTTCACCTTGCATCGGACTTGCATTGTGTATAGATCTATCAGCAGTTTCCTGTGTTCGTCAGGGATAGACAGATAGATGTGGATATTAATTTTGGAAGTTTTCATTTCACTAGTGAATATATTCATGTCCTGGTAACTTTTACTTCTTTGCAAATTTAACAAATATAAAGAGTCAAATAATATCTATTCTAGCAACAAGGAGGCTCTTTCACTCCTGACAGATTTCCCCCTCTGTTTAGTAATAAAGATTACTCTGGCTGGGCGTGGTGGCTCACATTTGTAATCCCAGCACTTTGGGAGGCTGAGGCGGGTTGATCACCTGAGGTCAGGAATTTGAGACCAGCCTGACCGACATAGTGAAACCCCATCTCTACTAAAAAAAATACAAAGTTAGCCAGGTGTATTGGTGCATGCCTGTAATACCAGCTACTTGGGAGGCTGAGGCAGGAGAATTGCTTGAACCTGGGAGGTGGAGGTTGCAGTGAGCCAAGATCCTGCCATTGCACTCCAGCCTGGGCAACAAGAGCGAAACTCTGTTTCTGAAAAAAGAATGCTCTTCTGTTACCTTACACCCAGACTGCTGGACAGTACTCTTAGCCCAGTGCTCTCAGATACTCCATTGGGGATGGAGTGGAATTTTCATTCCTTCTCATGTCTCTGTCCTTCTTTGATGTCTTTCCTAGGAGAATTTCGCTCTGATATGGGCCTGTTTTACTCCCTCTTATGGTATTGACTTCATTTCTCAGGTCAGCAGTCCCGTGCACCCGGAGAAGCATGCCCTACTTGGAGCAGCGTGGGAGGTGGCAGACTTCCAGCCAGAGCAGGTGGAGACCCAACCCAGGGTGGTGTCTCGGGAGGAAGCTGGAAGCCTCCACTCAGTACACCAGGAACAACTGAACCGAAAGCGAGAACGTCGGCCCTTACCGAAGAATGGTAAGAGGGAAGACTTGGAGCATGCCCAGTGCAGAGGCTGGGGCAGATTTCCATGGTACCCCCAACGCTGTGAATGCCCAGTGGAGGGCCTCCCAGATACATATTCAAAATAGAGTATTTAAGGAGAAAGATTTCATTCACTTCAAGAATTAGGAACATGTGCAATATAAGTGAAAAGGTATCATAAAGTTGGAAACGGAGTCTGGGAAACATGGGAAAACCCAGTCTCTACAAAATTGCAAAAAAAAAAAAAAAAAAAAATTAGCCGAGTGTGATGGCATGCACCTGTGGTCTCAGCTACTCAGAATACTGAGTCAGGAGGATCGCTTGAGCCCAGGAGGTTGAGGCTGCAGTGAGCCGTGATCACACCACTGTATTCCAGCCTGGGTGACAGAGCGAGACCGTGTCTCAAAAAAAGAAAAAAAAAAAAGATCCAAACTAGGGAAACAGATTGCCTGGACCAGCTATGAGATCTTGTGGTGGTATTTAAACTCTCCACAGCTAGACACAGTGACTCACATCGTAATCCCAACATTTTGGGAGGCCGAGGCACTACAGTAATCTTGTGTTTTTCAGTCCTGTCGTGTGTATGTGCTCTTGGCTGACTAAACAAGTCAAAAAGCTGTTTGAAAGGGAACAAGACATTTGTGTTTGAAGTTTGACTCACAAGGCATCACGGAAGTGGCATACGAGAGGGTTAAACAGTTAAGACTTTGCAGAGGAGAGACCGCTGACATTCATAGCTGCACTGCACATTAATGAATCAGGTCAAATACTAGAAAATGAATACCTTGTCCTTCCCAGTCCACAGTGATCTCTCTATCTCCTGAACTGTGGCTTCATCTCAGGCTTAAAGAGAGGAAGGGAAACATCACTGGACCTGCCGTCAGAAGTCTTCTGTTTATATCTTGTCTCTGCCACCCTCTGTCTGTGAACTTGGGCAAATAATATGAAAAGGAACATGAATGCACAGAGACTAAGAGCTTAGGCTTTAGAGGCAGACAGACCTCGATTCAAAACCTAGCTCTGCCATTTTTTTTTTTTAATGTATGAGGCCTTGGTCAGGATACTTCTCAGACTTTCCACTCTCTCATCTTTATTTTATTTTATTTTATTTTTTCTTTGAGGTGGAGTCTTGCTCCAGGTTAGAGTGCAATGGCACGATCTCGACTCACCACAACCTCCACCTCGCAGGTTCAAGCGATTCTCGTGCCTCAGTCTCCTGAGTAGCTGGGATTACAGGCGTGTGCCATCACACCTGGCTAATTTTTGTGTTTTTAGTAGAGACGGGGTTTCACCATGTTGGCCAGGGTGCTCTTGAACTCCTGATGTCAGGTGATCTGCCCGCCTTGGCCTCCCAAAGTGCTGGAATTACAGGCGTGAGCCACTGCGCCCAGTCCTCTCATCTTTAAAAGGGAAGTAACAAGGCCATTAGTGCAGATTAAATGAGGCAGCGTAAAGGAGCCAGTGCATAATAGTGCTCAATAAATGTTAGTTTCCTTTCCCCCAGAATGGCACAATTATTTTTAAACCTCAAGTATGTCTGACTTACACAGCTCTTCACTGAGAGGCAAGATTCGGTACTACTATACTTTTTTATGCCTCCCCAAATTTATATTATGATGGAATGCATTGCAAATGTCCATGGTTGAGAGAGAGAGGGAGGAAGGGAAAGGAAGGGAAAGAGAAGAGGCGGGAAGGGAAGGAGGTGAGGAACCACAGCCATAGTCTCACACTGAGACGTGAGTGGGACCTGAGCATTGGCGGTGCCCTTTCAATCAGATGTGTGCTCTCCAGTTCCCACAGTCCTTACCTGGCCCCCTTCATCTTGTACTTTACTTGCTTACCCCCAGAAAGAATTTGAGGTTATGATCCCAGCTTTAGGGTACTGTGGTTCTGGGCATTGTTCTCAACTCACAGAGAAAATGGTGAATTTATATTTGTTGGTGTTTCAATACATACTCTTCTCTTAAAACGAGAGACAGCATGAATTAAAGGGTCGAAGCCCAGATTACTAATCGTTTCTTTCTATTCTTACAGCTCGGCCTTCTCCCTGGGTTCCTGCCCTTGCTGATGAATGGAATACCCTAGATCAGGAAGTGACAACCACACGACTTCCTGCTGGGTCCCAGGTACATTGTAATTGTCTTTTTTTTTCTTTGAGATGGAGTCTCACTCTGTCACCCACGCTGGAGTACAGTGGCACGATACCAGCTCACTGCAACCACCTCTGCCTCCCGGGTTGAAGCGATTCTCCTCCCTCAGCCTCCTGAGTAGCTGAGACCGCAGGTGCATGCCACCACACCTGGCTAAGTTTTCATATTTTTAGTAGAGACGGGGTTTCACCATGTTGCCCAGGCTGGTCTCAAACTCCTGACTTCAAGTGACCCGCCCACCCCGGCCTCCCAAAGTGCTGAGATTACAGGTGTGAGCCACCATGCCCTGCCATAATTGTCTTCTCTGGCCTTCCTTACTAGGGTATTTAGGCACAGTGCTTTTCTGTGCCTTCACTGTCCTCAAATTTTTATACTCTCCACAAGAGACTTTTTCCCCGTTACTCCTTTTCCCAAAAAGATGGGACCCAGTCTTCTGAGTAATGAGACTCCTTGCTGGATCATCTTGCTTATCTTGTCATCT